TGTGACGCGCATTGCACTGTTTCGTCGTTGCGCCCACTCTCGTCCGAAACGATTTATCTTCGAGACAGAGCATATACGGAAAGTAAGGAGACATATAAATTATTAACAAGCAACAGTATCGCGTTCTCGTAATATGTGATCTCTGGGCCCGATTGAGAAAATTATTTCACCTGATCGACGGAGAAGACTGTTATTATTATTATTGTTGTTATTACTATTATCGTATCGATGCGCATAAAAGAAGCGAGCGATTTGATTTTGCGCGGAGTTCGCGGAATTTTCCGCGCGAATCGGACGCTCTTTTCGGCATTATTATTTGAGACTCTCATTATTTCTTAAGACGTCCAGAAAGTAATCTTCGACCGATGGCGTTATCAGCGCCGGAGTACCCCTGCGTGTGAACTGTTTTATTTACGTTACCCCAAAGCCCGGCGGACTGTACTTGGACCTTTAATGCAAAAATATGTTTTTTAATAGAATTTGCGCACGCAACGGCAGATAATCCAACGAGCCTGACCTTTCCAATTCGATTAGGTAATGTCAATAAGGTCGGCTGAATGTTAAACGGTCGATATACCGCCTTCGGGGATGATACCGCGACCGCTTTAAATGAACGCTGTCATGCATTAAAAGAGACCTCCCTTGAGATTTCTCGCGCGAGGAGCGTACTTTATATCGTTGGATCGTACACTGATAACGCATTAACGTGGGAATTTTATATCGGCGCGGATGTACGCGTAAAATTGCACATGACCTTCGGAGTGGCGGAAAAATATTCCGCATACGCGGAAAAAAATCATTTGCTGGCCCAGCAAATTTTACGCTGTCTCAACAAAATCTATCGATTACTATGAACAACGAAACGATTTGTTGAGAATATTAATTGCTATTCGCTGGTTTATTTTGCTGAATTGCAAATTATTTTGTTTTAACAACAAATTAACATGTCCTAAGGACAAATCCGCTCAGCAGAATATTCCCTGGCAATAAAACTGTTTCTGCTTTAATTGCGAATGATTCGATAATTTGGTTATGCTACTTAAATGTTATTACTGTCGCAACGAATATGCGGTAAACTGAGAAAAAGAAATTGAAGAAATTTTGCGAAATAAATGTTTCTCGTGGCATTTTCTTCGATATTTTAGTTAGAAAAAAATTGGATTGCGTTGACGGGACATATATTTTTGTTAAATACATCTGAGTTTTCTTATTAAATGGTTTATTTGCTAGGCATAAAATTTTATTTCGCCGTATTTAAACGAAAACATTTATTTCTGCGAAATAAACCTTATATTTCACAAGTCAATTTTTTAATCTTTTTTCTCAGTGTAGCAATGAGAGAGAAAAGGTTGTTTTGGCTACAACAGTAAAATTATTTTTCCCCGTGCTTATCTTCTTTTCATTTCTTTTGAAACATCGCAGGTATTTTTCTAGCAAAGAAAGAGAGAGAGAAAAGGCCAGACAAATGAAAGAGAACGAAATAACGAGGTACTTTCCAGAGGTCCTATTCTTTTAAAATGTTACATTCCAATGGCTTTCGTCATAACTCGAGATCCGTCGGGGAGCCTATCGTCATAATTAATAATAATATCGCGAGAGTTGCGAAATGCTCCACATATTAATCATACGGTCAGATACACCGCGATAAACTGAACTTGGTCGGATGAGCACAGCCGCTAGCTGGGATCAGATCGGTCTTGCGGAGGGCACACGTGACATTCCTGAGGTTTTCCCTCGCGCGTCGGGCACGTACGTGCCGGCGGATTACTCACGGCCGCGTGGACAATCACGTCACGCATCTAGTTGTGTTTGTTACGATCAGTCGATATTAACGCCTCTCGGTCACACATTGGTCTATTAAAGTGTGCGAACGCACACGCGAACGCACTTCACATTTCACCTTAATTATCAACCGAATAAATACGCACTACATTTCTGGGAATCGACGTTCGCTGGAATTTAACATTTCAGAGATGGAATATCTGAAAAGAAAGTATGTTAAAATTATTTCATTCCTCCTGTTAATTGTCTGCCCTTTTCTTTCTTTCCGCAAGAAAAAATGCGATGTCTTACCCGAGGCAAGAGATAAGCTGGTAATACCTGGGATATTTTATATACGTCGAAACTAATGGGCACTGAAAAAATGATTGAATAATAGGAAAAAGGATTTGGTAATAGGTGGTAAAACTTTATGAATATTTACCGACCAAATATTCCTTCGAACAAATAATTTAGGTCTACGTATTCTATATACTATAATATAGTTTTTCCGCATATTGCATATTTACTACTAAATTATATATTTGGTTGCAATAAAGAAATAAAAGAAAAGGAATAATTATCTAATCTATCTTTTCTTAAAGTGCCAGGTATTCGCTACAACGAATAAACATTACTTTTTCTTAAATCGCATTTACAAAGCCATTTAAGAATAAATCTAAAATATTTGGTCGATGAATATTTGCCAAATTTTAATACTTAATACCTAATCCTTTTTCCAGTGTGTATATGTTCAACTAATTTATATTCTGTAAGTCCCGAGTCTCTCTCTCTTTCTCTCTCCTCTCCTGAAGATAAAATTAAAGACTAGGATCGATACATTCCGTGCGTGTCGGTTAGTCCTGCCACGAGCTATGACCCTCGACGATTAAAAATAATATTTTTATCTCCGCAAGAACAGCTCGCGAAACTATTCTCCTCGTTTCTTTGCTCTCTTAGCCTCGTTTCTCCTTCTCTCACTCTCTTTCTCTTTCACTCTTTCTGTCTCTTTCTGTCCCTCCTTTGTGTATGTGCCTCGTACGACGCAATGTCCATCCGTGGCTGAATACGTGAGTGCGTGTGCCACCACCAACGACGGTCAGATAAGAGCACATGGTTATTTTTGTAACGCACCGGCTAGCAACAGTTTCTCGGTGTCATCAATACACCAAAAGCGTGTGTGTGTCCTGCGTCTCTGCCGAATCTCGATCGATCTCGATACTTTGCGACATTGTCGTACGAATGAATCCGACTGCCCTCGGAAAACGGACGCGCGATGCGGCCGCAATGCCGTGTCGATCCGTTTTCGGCAGTTAGTCGCGAATTGCAAAGAATTATTAGAATAAAATACAGTTATTCTTTGTTATATTACTTACTTTGTTATATTACTTACTATTTCTCATTTATTTCTCATTTACCACTTCATTTATTCTCAAATGGCTTTAATGCGATTTAAGAAAAAGTAATGTTTATTCGTTGTAGCAGATACCTGATACTTTAAGCAAAAATGGGTTAGGTAATTATTTCTTTTCTTAATATGAAATAAAATAGTATGTCACACTGAAAAAAAATTGCTACGTTCAAATAAATATTTATTAAGAAGTATTGGAGTAGTTTATTTTACTTGAATTAAGTAAATATCACTTGAATGTAGCACTTTTCAGTTCATGTGAGTTGTTCCAAATATTGTTAACTGTAAAGTTATTATTATATATTTATTTTAGACAAAGAGATATTACGAGAACCTACGTGCCGAATGCATAAGATTATCGTGCATAAAATGTGAAAAATATGCACTGAGAAACATGAAAAAAGTAAAAATCGATAAACATTCTTCCTTTTTTTAAGCGGGTACTAAAATATATTCGATAGCGCAACACGGATCTCGATAAGATGCGCGCTTTGAGTTGAATGAAACGCTTGAGTGCTCTTTTCCAAAGCGTTCTGCCACTTATATTCGCGTGTGTCTTAACGATATCGGTTTTCTCACATAAAGATATCCACATGTGCGCGAATCAATTTACTGCGGGTTCTCGATTATGCAATCTGCTGTCGATTATGTTTATTTTCGCTGTTTGCAAAGTAGCAAATTCGTGAAGATGGCATGTTCGTGAAGATAAGTGGTATCGAGTAAAATATATAATCGAATTCTCTTATATAAAAAAAAAATGCACTCCTCATTCTCTTCATACATTTCCGTTCGCGGAATAGTGATCTTTCTGCCGGTGTGCACATACTGAGAATAAAGAAAAAGGAAAGCACAGGTTTTTTTAGAGAAACAAAGCATTAAATTGAAAAACAACGTATTGTAAAAATTAAAGTTATAAGGTTTATTATTTATTACGTCGTTGAGTGAGTGAGAGAGAGAGAGAGAGAGAGAGAAATATTGGTGCCTGTTATGTCCCCATAATCATGTCCCTATAGTCATGTTCCCGTAGTAAGTAATGTGCGAAAGAGCATATGATATCGATATTTTGTATTGTTGATTGGAAATATATCGATATTAGAGAATATCATATTTTTGACACGTCTTTGGAATATTTACTTTACTCCTTGAATAATGATAAAATTCGAAATTCTATATATTATCAGAGAAAAATCGGAAAGCAGTCACACCGGCATTTTTCAACGAGCGTGAGAAAGTGCGTGTAAATTACATCCATCTCGCGCGGTAACATTATGTGCCGCTTGATTCGTGTCACTCTAATAACCTTTAATGAATAAAAAGATTACACATATATCTGAAGAGAGGCAACATTTAGAAAGACAATATTAAAACCGTTTTGAAATAAGAATATATTTATGAGTATCACTCAACGGAACGCTAACGGAATACAGTGAAATTGTGCTTTGGTTTATATCGAATCAATTGATATCTCAGTTTTTAACGGACGGGTTATTATCGATTGACCACGTCTCGATTGACCACATTGATTGGTCGCACTAGAAAATTATCAAACCACTGTCGGCCACGATTAATGGCGGATCAATTGCAACGGTATTCGAACGGGACACTCTCTTTTTAACCGATACGATATTAAAACTCAAAGTAGCGATGCGAAATATCGAATATCTAACATCCGTGAATCGACATTTCAAAGTACCGATACTCATCGGAGCATCCCTACCCCGTAGTCGTTTACGGACTCCTGGTGAATGGGCTTTTCCGATCCCGCAATGGACATGAGATGTCACAAGTATTCCCTCGGCATCACTCAGCTTGTACGTCAATCTTTCCGCAGTGTTGCTCGACTATGTCGAGGGGGCCGCGGAGCCGACGTCGCAGATCGCCCGAGAGGCGGTCATCGAGTGCGAAGAGAGGGAGGCGGCGGCGGCAGCAACGGTAACGATAAAGAGCGAGGACGTCATCGAGCACGGAGTCGAGCAGCGACAGGAGCAGCAACAGCAGCAACAACGTCAACTGGCGTACGTGGCGAGCGAAGAGGCCGGGAAGGAGAGTGTGGGCGTGCTGAAGGCGGGACAGCCGGAAATGGAAAATGGCGCCATAGTAGCCGCTTCGACCGGTGCCGAAGCGGTTGCTATTGCGGTCGCCGCCGCCACCGCCGCCGGTGATCACACGGAGGATCCCAGCGCCACCTACACGCTCCATCAGCTGGGCTACCATGCCGCGAACATCATTCGTAGGTGAGTGCCACGAACGGGCCGGCCTCTCGAAAATACCGGTTTACCGAGAGCGCGATTTCCATTCGTGGAAATGTTCGCGCGCTGTTACAACGCAGACGACACCCCGAAACAACCTGCGCGTTGTCGCGAAGAGAACCATCGAAATTTCGGTTCGCGTGTTCGTTAGCGAGTGCGTCCGCGCGAAGGATCACACAAACCTCTCATCCGTAATGTTGCGTTGTCCTTAACCCCGAAACAGCGGCTACCTCGAGGAAGACTCACCCCGCTACGAGGGTGGCGAGATAAGGGAGGAGCAGCAACAGGTCTCCCAGTCGTCCCACCACCACCACCACCGGCAGCAGCAGTCGCAACACCCGCACCACCAGACGCGGCAGTACGTCCAGCTCGGGGCGAGAGAGGTCCCGGTTCCCGAGGGAGGGGATAACCGGCAGCACCCGACAGAGGCCTCCGTCGCAACGGAGGGAAGCAGCGCCGGCAGTCACATGCCTCACTCGACGATGCATCGCTACGGTACCGAGACGCTCTCGCCGACCACGAGCGATCATCATCCGCATCATCATCATCAACAGCAGCAGCATCACCACTTGTCCGAGGTGCATCAGCACGGCGCGTTGTCGGCCCATCGTCATATGGACGATCAGCAGCATCACCACGAGATTGAGACGGACGACGTGGAGGAGCGAGGAGTGAGCGGTATCACGATCGCCATGAGGACCCGGGCCGATTACTTGGGGGTGCTCCTTCCCATGAATTCGTCGAACGCGGGCTCGGGCAACGGGCCGAGTAATCATCACCATCACTCGCACCACTTGGACGACGTGCTGTCGGGAGACTCCTACCTACAGCATCATATCCGCGCCGGCGCTACCGGCGGCGCCGCCGGTGGCGCTTCCCCGTCGGTGAGGATGGCCGGCTCGCCGACTCCCAGTCACAGTCCGCACGATGATCAGGTGATGTCGTCGCCGCATCGCCAGGTCCAAGAGGCCGGATACAGTCCGAACGATCAGGGCAGGCTGCAGTCCTTCACGCATCTCACCGCCATGCAGCCGTCCTCGGTGCAGAGCAACCACGCAGGGCTCCAGGAGCCGGAGCGCGTCACCGAGCAGCTCTACATGGACTCGATCTACACGCACCACGCGACCGGCACCCCGCATCATCATCAGGAGCACGACCAGGGCCCCTCCACGCCGCACTCGCCGAGCGGCCCGCTCTCCAGGTTAGTGACAATCGTTATCGTTATCGCAGGCGCGTGCCGCGGATGCATGTGTCAGGTGCGAGCGAGATTGTAAACGTCGGCCGCCCTGCCGTGAATGCGCCTCCTCCTCGCGAGGTATCCTCCGTCGCCGGACGAATGTCAGTGAATAAATCGGTCAGTGTTGAACTGAAAACTTAGTGACGCGAGAATTCATGTGTCGCCGCGACTGAGAGAACGTTCGTGCGAAACGGAGATAAAACGATCTCGTCGGTGTGAGCTAATTTCCCCGGCCGGCCGGAAAACTCCCTCGGAAACTCGACGCGGGAAAAGTGAATCGATAAAATTTCCAACAGCAATTGCAATAAATATTATTGAGACTACTTTCTTCCGTGTATTGTTTCAATAATCAAAGTATTCGTTTGAATCGACATGTTATCGCACATCAAATGACATTAAATCGAACGGATTAGCTTCAATTGCGCGTACCGTTGGAAGTTCTATCGATTCAACAGCCTTTCTTTTTCCGTGTAGGGGCAAGAAGACTCCTGTGTGTAGGAGACTTCTGCGAGCTTCGATCGCTCTCAGGTTGTCTCGATCGAGTTTCGGCTCAGCTGAATGTTCGCGCGAATATTCTCAGTTGTGGCGAAAGATATCGCTTCTCGTCACATTGAGGAAAACGTTGTTGGTATTCGTAACCATAATCGCGAGAGTGAGAATTTATTTTTGCAGCGAGTGTTATTGTAGCGTCGGTGATAATTACACAGAGAAAAATACACACCGCATATCAGTGAGTGTTACTTGCTTCAGGTATTTCTAAGTTTACACGTCCGCGAATATATCTCAAGTTTATCGAATTTATTCGAAATATATTTGGAATCCTAGTAAGTTTGTATACTTTAATCAAGATAATTAAATTAAAGCACAAGTCAGGTTGTTTACTTGAATTAATCGAATCTTTTCTTCGATAATTTCGTTAATATTCTTGAAGAGAGAGTGAACTCTTCTTTTGAGCACGGGTGATAATGAGCCTCCTCCGAAATTTGTGTTGAACGCATTTTAAGATTTATCAGGAAAGCATTCTTTGTGTGTTGTTGATTAAGATAACCATTACTGAAGACCGACTTAAGAGAAGGAAAGTAAGCTAACTAATCGCTTTCCTTGGCAATAGAATATTTTTCTTTGTGTACCTCGCATGCATATCGCCGCTACTATTTTTTGTTGGTTAAGACCGGAAGAAGATATAATCGGGAGAACGACTGTATCGTTAGTAAGATTTCTCTTAGTGTGCGCCGACTTTCCATTTCTCATCATCGAATGTTCATCCGGTGCCGGTTCACTCGCGGAAACCGGGTTGTTTCTTCCGCCGTGTCCCTCCGGCTCGTCTTCGCTCGTCCGGGCATCTCGATAAACACATCACGGTCGTCGACGGTCGTTGTTGTCGACGGGGCCGCCCGTACGTCACGTCGAATCGTATCGTTCGGTGCGGTGTTTCGCCGCGGCATCGTTCGTTGACACCGTCTTCCGCGAGGTTTGCGGTCTCTCTTCTCGCCTCGGAAAATTGCTTCGCTCGAAGCGCGCCGGCATTTACCGGGAATCTGTTCGGCCATCGCTTCCTAGACGCGCGAGATGCGATACGGCGTCATTCGATCGCCGACTTAATTAGTATCCCCGCGAAGCTCGCGCGCGCTTCGACATCGATTTGTACGTGTGAGTCGAAGCAGTAGCGCTCGCGCTCAGATTAAAGAGAGAGAAAGTCGGAGAAGAGACACCGTCGTCTTCGCAGCCGCGATTTTCGAACGACGACGACTTCGGAGAGAACTCCGGCTCGCTGTCGAGGGATCGATTAATCGCAATCGTACGACTCGCGTCGCTTATTCGCGATGAATCTCAAGTTTTCTATATAATTGCATAGGTAAATAAAAGAATCGCAGAATTCACGGTCATACCTTACACTTAGATCGTCTCATCTTTGGGTACTGTACGGATCATTTTATTAGCTATGAGGCTATCTAAAGATGAACTTGAGATGATCTTAAATATAAGTTCCGACTATACACCAGGAGAAAAATGTGCTACCGTTCAAGTAATATTTCAAGCAGTTATTCCAAAATGATTAATATTTCTTGACAAATATTTACTAGAAATAGAAACACAAATGACTATATACATAATATGATATTTTCTTCTTATATGTATTTACTTGTAGATGTCAAAACAATTGCGACAAGTATTAAACGCACAGTATTGAGAATAACAGAATTTATTTTTGGCAAATATTTACTGGACAGAAAATCCAAATTAAATTCCACTAAGTTTCTCCGATGAAAAAATATAATATAAATATTACACATAATTCTAATAAATATTCTCTGTTAAAGTTACCGTTGTATCCAAGTAAGTACTTACTACGAGCTATTAAAATATATTAAAATTGATAAACGTATTAATTGATTTAAGAGGCTGAAAAACAGGCAATTACGTTTACTTGAATTCCAGCGCTTCTTTTTTCTGCGTATCGGCTATAGTCAGGAGAATCATTTTTCTAGTGAACGTCACTACTACAGTACAATAATAACCTCGCATATTTTTTCGCTTGAAATCAGAAGAAGATACAGTCGACGCTGTGAAAACGATTACAATTTCACTGGGATCCCTCTCTCTCTCTCTCTTTCTCTCTCTCTTTCTCACAGTGCGAAGAAAATTACATTAGTATAATAATAATATAATTTTTTCTCTCTCATTCGCTCGAGCACGGTACGACCAGACGTTCACAAAGCGCGTCGCGAGGGCCGCGCAAAAAAATATTTACTCGTAGCCTTTAAGGGTAGTTCCGCTGCGCGCAAGGACTCCGTGTGTGCATAGGCGACGCAAGCTCGAAACAAAGCGCAACCGTCGATGGGAGACTGCAACGATGCGGCTCGTTCCGGGGCCTATGCTAACATCTCGCGTGAAAACGAAGATTGTCTCCGTCCTCTCGAAGTGTTTGTCGAATCGTCTCGGGCACGAGACCCCCGAAATAGTCCCCGTCGAGCTCCGCGAAGGAACTCCGCCGCCGCGAGAACTCTCCTCGCCGATTCTTTTTCTCGTCACGTGGAACGCCAAAGATAAGGGGTTCATTCAGCGGACCGAGTAATCCTTGGATCGTATTGTCCGTCACCCTCTAATTCGCGGAAGGAATCGTTCCGAGAAAGGAACGAGATGATTGCTCGTGAGAAGCACGTTGCGAGAGAGAGAGAGAGAGACAGTGTGCGTCATATCCAAGGTTCGATGTTGATTCACTTATCGGCGCGCATTCTTGTACACAATGATGATCGGGTTCATCTTTAGGTTCATCTTAGGCGACATTTTCAACGGCGTTCTCTCGTACGTTCAAAAAAAAGAGAAAACATATCAATACATAAATTTCGGAGAACACATTAATTCGCAGCCCTACCTGTTCCCTGCATTATTCAGTTACGGGGTCGTGAAAGTGAAAAGGACACTCACCGAGAGGAATTGTTATCCGAGCGCCAGCGATATTTAAGTTTACTTCGATACGTCTCAGCTGCAACATCTTTTACTCGGTACATTTTCTCCGTACCGTTCTCTGCCCGCCTTGCTTCATTTTCCGTTTAATTCTCATTTCGTTTCGTTCCTTCCGATCGGCACCGATCTTATCTGGCGCGCTCGATCTGCATTGATAAGAGTTTATTGACCGATCAATGCGATTGACTGATAAAATCTCAGCGAGAGACTATCGTTCCGTGGACAAAGAGCAGTCATATGATGACCGCAATCGGTTCCATCATGAATGTAATCGATAAGAAAAATTATGAAAAAAACGAGACAGAGAGAGAGACAGAAAGAGAAAGAGAGAGAGGGAGAGAGGGGGGGGGGGGGGCAGTGAAGAAAGAGTCGCATGCTCGCATTTAAGAGTTTCATATTTGTGTGTTGACACATTCACGCTCTGTACGCGTGCACGGGCCACGACCTTCGAAATACGATATCCAAAGTTCGAGTGCAGATCGCAGTCCACTTTTCGTCGCTTCTTTTTAGCATCGTTAGCTCCTTTTTTCTTACGGCCCGATTCGAGGGAGATAAGTGCGCGAGTGCAGAGAAATTGTTCGTTATATTATGCAATCGCTCGGCGACGATTACGTAAAATCGCCTTAGCATCGCGCGCCTCGAAGTGGCTCGAAAGTGTAAAGCACTTTAAAATCATTACGAATTCACTCGACGTCCGGAGAGTCGAGTGAGAGTCAACTGCTATAACTCCGGTCTTGATTAGTTGCTCATCATCGAAAAAGGCTGCCTGTTAAAAACTGCGTTTCACGGTGAAGCGAAAAGTCTCTTCAATCGCGGCGAGAGTTGAGCGGTATTCGTCGAAGAAATAAGTAACGAATAATAATCGGAAGTAATTTGCGACTCGACGTTTCGCAACTGCCGTGAATTCCTTCTTTAACACATTGCCAACCGCGTAAGTTGTTCTTTACTGAGCCTTGAAAGCAATTACATTTCGTAAACAGTATACTAAGGAAAAAGGACAGCAAAATTAGCGATCATCTTATTTGATTAAAAAAAAAAATATTCTGTCCACTCAATGGATTGCGTGTTGGCGCAATAATGTGTTGCGTTGATATATAGTTGATAGTCGCTGACCAAATCGCAATCGTTGAATGAATTGATAAACTCATTGCACATTCAGAGAAAAATATAGTAACATAAGTGACAACTATACGACTTTGGAAGTAGAATTAATGCACATATAGTTTAGTAAACTATTTTATAGTTATTGCAACTAACTCTGAATTTTTTGCCAGACTTGATCGAAATAACTGTAAAATAATTTATTAAATTATATGCGTTACATACAAAACTCGTACAGCGTTTATTGGTTTTTAAAAAATGCCTTTATTGGCGTTTGCCACAACTATGTATTTTGTAGCAACTGTACATAGAAAAAAGTGTTAGGTTCATGTGATAATTATTCCAATACTCCTTAACCAATTTTTACTTAACTCCTAACTGAATGAAATAATATT